AGAATATTTACTGGATTTTCGTAGAAAATCATGTGAACTACACAAACAGATATTTTGATCTCGGATTAAGCACTTTTTAATAATTTTTTGAATGAATTCGCTCTGCATAACACAAATGAGGCAGTGATTGAACCACCTACCGCCATGAATTTAGTTCAGTAAGGGGATATTTTTGTATATGTTCATAAATTTGCAAATAGAGAAGATTTATAGTTTTTCCTACAGTTACCTAACAATGTACATGTTCTCTCACTGATTTGAGAAAGCAAAGTGGCCAATTCGCTCATCAGTGAGACAATGTTAACATTGTCTCACTCTAATTACTTTGTCTCACTCCAGATTTGCAACGTGAAGGCACGAAATAGTGAGCGCGTAACATGCAGGCAACGTCGTATGCGCGCGAAATACGTTGGCAGCACTGGCTGTAAATCAGCTGGTCAGCTGTTGTACTGTTGTATTTGTCACTTCACATTAAATGTTATATTACAAGTTCACTTCTGTGTAAAAATAGGTTATGTTTATTCACCAATTTATTTGTTTTATGGTAACTGTAGGAAAAGTATAATGTGCAACTCGAGTTCAAAGTACAATTGCCTCACTCGGTGCTTGTACACTGTTCTTTTACCGTTTAACCTTTTAAATTTCATTATGGCAGTTGGCCATGGAAGCGTTCTGACATAGTTCTAACACAGTAAACGAAATCTGTTTATTAGGGGCAAAAATGAATAACAAAAATACAAATAAGGAACGTTAACACTACTTCAAGATAATTTCCTGGTTTACTACACGCAGGAACAAGAAGTTCCAAGAGAACCAATCTTCAAATATAATTTCAATAAATTATAAATTGTTTAGGTTTTGGTCGAAATGAATGTAGAAGTACAAGACAAAATATTCGTTTACGTAAAACCATCGTGCTTCTTTGCGTGTCAAACAGTTTTATACTAAACGTACCAAACTTGTGTTTTATAACAAAGAGAACACTTCACATCATTAAGTTGAGGAGAGAGAATTGTATGGGTTACAGAGGATTACAGCAGAGCCCATTACAAACGTTGGGCGTTGTATCGGTCTGTGTTTGTAGAACAAACATTGGAATGTTAGTTCATCGCGCCCATTGTTGTAGGAACGTTCCACGATATGCTCAAGTCGCACTCGATTGCATTGTGCTTACCCCGACCATTAGAATAAAACTAGTTTTTAGATTTGTAAAATATTTTATCTACGACCGTTTATTAAAGTAGCCGTTTCAGTACAGTTATTAGAATTGAAAAGTATCTCATAACAGCATTGTTTACTTTCATAACAGCATAGTTATAACAACTCATAACAACACGGGTAACGGACCAATGAGGTTCAAAGGATTGAGAGAGGAGAAGTAAAATTGTAATGCTTTGAACTTCAACTAATCAGCTGTTCAGGTCAATTCAATTGATAATGAGTGCAATTAGTGTTTAGTACAATAATGATTAGTTGCATCACTGTCAGTTGCAATGATAGGTTTATTTAAACGAAAACATAACCTCTCTTAGAAGCTATGAGTAGTGATTGTTAGTAATTAAAAAACTGCCTTAGGTAAAGTAGTGTACGCAACTTGCGCAAATAGTCTTTACACCACACTACACTGTTTTGACGAAGTTCCCACGCAAGGATTTAGTCCAGAAAACAGCTGATTGCCGTCAGCTTAATCAAATGGGGGTTCATTACGTACTACTGTACTGTAATGAGTTTTCCGGACACCAACCAGCTGATTATATACTGTATTTGGCAATGAGGGAGACTGGTTAGTTTATAAACAAAAACATAATCTCTCTTAGAGGTTATAACTAGTGATTGTTAGTCCTTTAGTCGGTGGTAATATATAAGGATTTGTACGGAACGGATTTAGTAGTATGGCGTAAAATATCATACGTCACTCGTCCAAAATGTGTTTACCGGACTCGTATGGTAATCCCGTACTCCCCACACTCGTCCGGTAAACACTATTTTCAGGACTCGTAACGTAATATACTGTAACGCGATCGTTGCGTAAACTACTGTTACGATCGACTTTTTACCCTTACTTTCAGTATATGGTTGAACTTTATGATTTTTCGGATGCTAAACCGACTGTCGTTTGAATTAAAATCTGTATTTGTTCCATTTTAACCACACCTAGGCTAACATTATACTTGTGCTAGGTAGCAAACTTATATACAGACAACGTCTTGAACACTACAGTTGAAACATTAATCATGTCCTACTAAGTGACACAGTTTTGATGCAATTTTGAATCTGAAATTTAAAAATGTATTATACTACTAAACATATGAGTAAAATAAAGTATCGTATTTTACCGAAGACAAAATGAACTATCTTCATCTGGTTGTATTGACTTAAATTTTATGGAGGGGTTTGAAAATAAGTGGGTGTAACTTACAATTTTCAATAAATTAAATTTATTAAGTTGCAGTACACGCATCAGCACCGATGATACATTGTACTTGGTGAGGAAGTTAATACCCCCTTTCTGAATTTAGTGAAAATAATTATATTACACTAAGAAGTAAAATTAAGGTTTGTGTCCAAAATGAATGAGTAACCATTTCATACGGATTGTAACTACAGCATTACTATCTTTCGTGTCCTCTTCCCGTTGCAAAGCACGAGTATAGCAGCTCGTACTAATTTCAAACATTTGTAATTCCACACACTGAGCACCAACATAGCCATAAAACATATTCGAGACAAATTAGTATGAGCAATACTTTTAACTCTGGATAAACCGGAGACAGCTGTTGAGCAATTTCATGGAATGAAGATCGTTTGAAAGATGGCAGTAGTAGACATTAACCATGAGGCTGCTATCATATCGAACACTAGTGACATGTCGTAAACTCAATGTTAAACTACGAAGTATATGAGAGTTAATCCACTTTGTTTACTCATACTGTTTTAGAATTTGAAAATATAAACAAAACAATTTAATGAAAGCAAATCCATCTGTCTCTACCAGTAAATAGTAAGGTTTTTAAAGAATATTCAACCATATAAACTGGGTGATCATTTGTTTAAGATCTATAATATTAAATCTTTAGCTTTACTTAACCAACGTTTTCATTTTCAGCCACACAATACTTTATAAACCATACGCTTTTCATAGTTGATTAGGTAAAGCTAGAGCAAACGTTTGACAAAGTTAAACATTGGTTATGCGATGAAAAACATCCGTATCAGAAAAACCTGTTCATTTACCAAATTAAAATGAAAAACTTTAAATCTCTGTGCATTATGGGTATTAGGGAGTTTCCACCCAAAATACAAAGAGAAAGGTCATGTGTTTTTTATCTATCTCTTATTTATTAAATAATTTTATGTAAGTAAAAATACTCTCTAAAACCTAGGAGTTTGTGAGGCTGGCTGGTTGGTAAGACTAAATAACAAAACATTTAGTTTTTCTTCATTTTATAGGTGTTCAATTCTTTTATTCCAGCTCCAATGAAAAAAATCTATGAAAAGGAGTTAAACGATCGCAAGACTTCTTCTATTAAAATCATCTATGCAATCAAAAGTGGGCCTGAAGTAAACAGATTTTATCGCTAAGTGGTCTATACAGTTTGGATTTAAAGATGACATGATGATGATTTTTACAAATCCTAATAAATGTGATCAGGCTAGAGTGATTGTGTAAAGGCTGCATTGCCATGCTCTAGTTTAGTACATATTATAGACAAAAAGACCATCTTCCCCAGACAAAATTCTCCTCGTGAATAATTTTCTCACGAGAGGTAAAATGGAACAAGGTTGGCAATCCTGAACTTCATGTAACATTTAAATCCCTACTTACGATCAGTGCATGTATTTAGGTTTTTTAAAAGTTTTTTAATAAAGCAAACATATTAATTTTGTATTACTATAATTTATTTTTAATGATACAATAATGACTTTGAGTTTCCGTCGCTATTTTGACATTAATTCTATGTTTGGAGATACAAAATCTGAATATAAACACAAAAGACGTTTTAATAAAGAAAATATGTTCAGAGGCCTGATGAAATTACAGTCGTAGCACTGAAAAAGAGTGTAAAAATAGTATGCTTTTTTCCAGTCTTAAAAAAGTATAAAAGTTAAATTAAAATGTAACATAAAATACTACTTATTTTGATTGACGTATTTTAATTAAAAAGATCGCCATTGAATTGTCATGTAAATTTCTTTAATTGCGTAACTCTACAATTTTGCGTACGATGTTCTTCATAAGAGTTTAGACGATAAGAGTGCCTCACCCCACAAGAGTAATTATAAATCAGCCTTATATAATAAATCAATCTCTGGTTTACTTAATTTAAAAAGGCACTAACACAGAAACTAAACAAATCGAATTTAGCAATGCAATGAGTAACAGTTCATACATTAATCACAACAAACTGTGGTAAAATGTGAAAAGGGCCCAAAATATAATGTGTGATATAAACACAAAATGGTACATTCCTTTCCTCTTTACTAAGGAAGGAGTTTTACGATTCTTTGAGCATCGATGAAACTATTGCTTGAAAAAAAACCCTTAAATTCTTCAAGTATATAGATGCGTTTTACATTACAGCTCTATAACCGATTAAACGTTACAAAATGCTCCCTCTATGATACATTTGTTTTTGCCAATCGAAGCGATGAAATGCTGTGAAACGAAAGATCAAAACATGCGCATAAACTACAGAAATGTGATTTCGAAATCAATTACTTGAGTTTATGAGTGGAAGGGGGTTTGAAACAATCAAGCCTATTGACATTGGTAGCTCTTCAATTCGTTTAGGTGAAATTATTTTTGCAGCGTATCATTAACCTTTGGGTGGAAGGGTTTTCCCCGGTGAACTTTAGATTGGGTGATTTTGCTCTAATATACCCTGGCCTGATTGTTAGTGTCCACGTACGTTGTTGCCATGACGACGGACTCGGCGCGCTACGGCACATAGCAGCGTGGCGCCTGGCCGGGTTTAGTCTCGATGCGGTAGTCGGAACGTGCAGACATATATTAATTGTGTTTTCTTCAACCTGTGAATTTTTACCTGTCGGAAAACTTTTGGATTTTCTCAGGTAAAGTAAGTAAGGAAATATTTTATGAAAATAACGTTGTACTGATAATCACTTCGGCGGCATAATTTAAAATCAGAATCTAATTTAATAACATTTAATGATAGAAAAATTTGGATGAAGTAGGTAGATTTTGTACTCTTAGAAATGTCACGTAAATACAGTATTTTATTTGAGCAAAAACAGTTGTTTTAATAATTTAAAATTATCAAAATAGCATTTAAAATACTATGCCTCTAAAGGGTAGTAACTCAAAATTATAAATGAAATCTGTACTAAGTGTTGTTTACACTTTTAGTTTGGTTTACTAAATTGTTAGTGTGTGTTGTGTCATATTAAAGCACATAATTTAGTTAATAATATACCTACAAGTTTGTAATTATGATGCTGTGTTAATATATAAATAAAGTAATTTATTTTACCTCAATCTAAAATTTTTGACAAACTTTCTGCGTGAAGACGAGCAAGAACACCAATTAAACAACGATTCTATTAAATGTCCAAATAACTTGATGCCCTAGCTAAGCAGAGCGGCGGGAGGTAAAACAAATCTAAGAGATAAAATAAGTATTAACTAATTCAAAGACTGTTCAAAGACTCATCGAACAATCTTGATAAAATACTTCATTTACAAAATACAATAATACTATTTACTATACAGTTCAGTGTTAGTGATTACAGCTTAAACTTATTAAATGATATAATGATATTACATATAACTACATACATGACATTTTAATGCAATATGGCATTTTATTTTTGCAATCAAAATGTGTCTGCAATAAAACATGTAAAATAATTTACCACTTTTTAAATAATGTAGCGATTCACAGTTTGATAATTAGCAATGATGAGTTGGTTTTAACTTAGTTTGCCGTTTCATACTCGAGTTTATTTGCAATTATGGCCTAAAATAAATATTAAACCATTTTAAAAGGTGATAAAGATTTCCATTTTACAGTATATTTAATAAAATATAGAACATGACCGATTTAGCACTGATGTGTTGGTTCCATGGAATAGGTCTACCAAAGATTATTACTATAAAACATCAAAACATACAAATTTGAAGGTACAGTGTGTTCCTTATAATTTGTTAAAAGAACATTAGTTAAGGGTGGAAAAAACACATAGCATATGTACAGCATAAAAACACATTGTGTTGAAAAAGTGTAAAACCACATATTTAGTAAATTAGCTAAGTATTGTTACTGGTAATTTTTCCAAAGGTGATTTTCTACCATATGTGGAAGAAGGCAGACACCTAAGGTTGTTTATGATTTATTCACTCTAATTATTATCAATGAGGCCTTTTTTAAACAATAGGTAAAACTTCTGAATTATAAAATTTTATATTCATTTTCGTGAAGGTAATAATGCAATAATGCAATGAAGGATAAGAAGCGGAATAATAATAACAATCAGGGAATTGAATTTTTTTTCCAGGATCCAACTTATTTGATTCACAAACCCAATTCTCATCGTGGGATTTTTGAGAACCACCAAGATGTTTGAACCAGATGTGTTGTACTTTAGCATGTGCTGGTTTGAGAATGTGTTGAAATTACTTCACAAAAGTTCTTTATACAATTACTTTTTTATATTTACATATTGAATGCGGAAAATACCATTGAGTCTGCATTCCTATAGAAAGTAAACAAGTCATAAAACAATTGAATTCAAATGTATTCAACAGTAATGTTGAATTTTCAAACTGCAGAAATTGGACAATTAAATTGGAAACTCAACGAATTCGTAATTGTTCAACTTGGATAACGTTTTTGTTACTTTTTACACTCGGGACTTTCAGTTCAGTTTAAAAATTGATGTATAGTTCTGTGATAATATTGGTTATACCGAAATCAGCATAAACTGTTTTAATATACTGTATTTTCATGGCAAGTTATCTTGAAAAAAAGGAAAAACAATTCAAGTCCAATATCTTGCAAGTCGCATCCCGAAAATTCCTCTCGACAAACAGTCAATTTTTGGCTAGAATACAATAACACATTGTACATTATATGTAGTTTTTAGGTTACCGTGAACAAATTTTTTGAGATTTGAACCCGTAGACCTAAATCTTTGTACTCAGAAAAAATTGAAACCACAATTAAATTTGTTCCATATATATTTAAGTTAGCATGACATTAACAAATTTTGTTGGCAGCTAGAAAACCATCTTACCAACTTAGTTGATTAATGAAACTTCAGAAAAATTCTCTTTTCGCAATACTTGTATTCTAGCAACCAGTGGTTTTACAAATCCTATATGCAGTTTATATTATAAAACATTGCTCAAAACTCGTTATTTAATTGGTATTTCTCATTAATCCATCGTCACTTTACTAACAAACAAAAACTGCACTTTAACAATACTAGCCTATCTAATCATCAAACTAACGATATTTTTAGGGGTTTAAGGATTTCAATGTTTGTAAAAAATGTAATAAATAGGTTTATTTGGCCATATATTTAGTATGTAGAAAGTATACAGAATTATGGAAATCTATAGTGTTATGTGGCTAGTAATTTTGTTCATACCAATGTGTCAATGTGTCCAATGTGCTGTCCAATGTGTGTGTGTGTTGACGATTTCATGAACAACCGCTGGGATATCTAAATTTTAGGAAATGTCGCGAAAATAAATTCAGGCACTGGTGTTTAGTAAATAGAAACTTAGTTTTAATTTTATTGTTTAATAACACTTATTGTGACAAAATGTAAGATTTAACATGGACTTTTTCACAAACCTTATTTATTGACGTTTGTAATGCAATGTACTTTGTCGACTGCAGTAAATAGTTATTTGTGTGACTAGTGGTGAAAGTGGCACTTTGCTGCACACGAGAGCAATGTTTACGCACGAGCCGCAGGCGAGTGTGGAATGATCTCGAGTGCAGCAAAGGCCTTTTTCACTCGTGTTACACATTATATTTTTCCTACAGTCACTATAAAACATAAATAATTAGTCTTTCAAACACTATGCAACACGTTTTTAGGTTCAGCTGGCAACACAAATGGTGCCCTAGAGAAAGTAGTACCCGCGGTTCATATCACTCCGCTATTTTTCCTCGGCAAGAAATGTGCTCCGCGTTTTGCGAATATAGTTCCGTATGTTTTTGTAATTTGAAGTGGTTTCCGCGCCTAAAAAAAATGCTTAAAAGGTATTTTCTTGTTTATTAAGATCGTAGGAAGGTTTTAAAAACGTTTAAAAGAAAAGTCCAGAAAGTTCAGAAATACCGAAACTATAAACACGAAATGACAGGTTAAATCGTAGTTATAATAGTCAATCAGCTGCTCATAGTATAATTATCTTTAAGTGTTGCCAACCTATTTCCAAGCGTACACGGATTACGTGCATAATGGAACCACGCTGTTTTGTGTTGTTTCGTTGGAATCCTGATGTGCGGCAAAGTATAAACCGTGCGGCAAAGTATAAACCGTACGGCAAAGTATAAATATGCAGCAATTAGCAGCTTTCTGTACTATAAACAGTACAAGGAAGCCAACTTTGTCGGGTGACTGTAGGAAAAGAATTATTATTATTATTATTATACCTACTTGATACATTTTTCAAGGGGGCCATAACCCCTCTCATTTATTAAAATGGATTTTGTTTTAAAAATAGATTTCATATAGTTCTCATTTTTCGAAAGCGTTCGCTTAGCCAACGAGTTTTTGAATCAATGCAGGAAACCAGTATTTAGCAAATTATTCATTCATATCAACGGATCCACCATTTTACAAATACTAAATGTTTGGTACAAGAGCAGAGTGAAATAAGTCATGTCCATTGTAAATAACAACAACAGTACGTAGATCAAAAACACAATCAACTGAACGGTAACAGGCTGTATAAAAATCTCTTTTGGAAAATAATATTAATAATTATGAATAAACAATCATATTAATGCTATAAATCAATTTTATATTGGGATAAACTGAAAATCGTATAATTTGGCAATAAAATATCTTAAAAACCAAAGGGCTTAGTGAAAAACTAGGGAAGTAGATAGTTTATCTTAATTGTATGAACTGGTAAACATTGTTATTAATTTTGTTAATAAGACTGTCATAAAATGTTATAACAGTTATGTATGTAGAAACTCTTTCGATGGTTTAAGGATAAGAAGCGGAATAATAATAAGAATCTTTATTGTAATTTAAAAATTTTACAATGCAATAGGGTACGTAATTTTAAGAAATGTTATATATAACGTTATAAAGGCTTCTTTGGACTTGAATTAACTATGGTTAATTTAATTTAAAGTTTAATTAATTAAAATAGAAAGATAGATTTCAATCTGTAAACTATTGTGACTGTGTAAACAAGTATGAACTCGAAATCACGTTTAGATTTTGTGATTAACGAATCTTAAAAGTAAGAAATTACAAGAAGAAAGTACAAGAAATCTGCTGAATAAAATTTACTAACTGACTATTCAACCGATATCATCCGGAAACATAGCCTAGTTTGACTTTTTTTGTTTAAGCTGCATTGTTAACTATTGAAATACATTGAGAACGTAGACAAACTTTATATTTAGTGTACTATACTGTATAATATATCCGTTATAATTTTGAATGAATTAATCTGTTTTGATGGGGTTAAAAAAAGAAAAAAAAACACCTGCGTGTAGGGGAGATAGAACATTAATTTTGACAGGATAGGAATACAGTAAGTCAAATACCCCCGACGCAGCAAACCTGCAGACTATGTGAATTTCCATTTGCCTGATTTGAAAGCAAACAACAACAGTTTACAATATTCTCCATAAGAATAACATGGGAATTTTATGGCCATTGAACCCTTAACCCTTAAGCATTTATGGTAATGGAATATGCTTGGTAAAATATTAGGAAAAATAAATCTACGTTTTTGGGATGTACGCAAAGTGGGTCAGGTATTATTTCAAAAGATACTTCAAACACAACACATCGCTCACAATAGTTTGTTATTCTTGATTTCACAAACGGCTTCTATCAGTCTCCAAACGCCCCCT